AACTTGTATTAAAAAAGAAGAAAAAAAAATTAAAGCTATTTATTTTAAAATCTCTTTTTTTACAAATAATAACAATAACAATAAAAATAATAATTATTATTTTGTCAGATCAATTTTACGAGGCCATTAAACCAAAAAGGTTTTTTTAATTAAGTACGAGTTGTCAATTCGTGGTGTTTATTTTTGGCCAATTAAATATATTGTTCAAATAATTTTACGACCGTTATTAAATATTTTGTCAGATCAATTTTAAAATTGATCTGACAAAATATTTAATAACGGACGTAAAATTATTTGAACAATTATAATAATTATTATTATTTATTATTACTTATAAAATTAACTTATAATAATCATGTTTTTGTTATAAATAATTATTATAAATGATTATCACAGTTTTTATTTATTTATTTTATTTATTTATATATATATATATATATATATATATATATATATATATATATATATATATATCAAATCGATAATCAAATAAATTTCCTTTTCATTGAAATATTAAAAATTGAAAAAAATATCTTTTTTTAAACTTTTATTGTAAAAGATAAAACAAAGAATGTTAAATTAAATTAATTAATTTTTAGAATATATTAAAATTATGTGAATAAGAAAATAATAAGAAAAATAGAAGAGGAAAGTTTAAAATTAAAAAAAAAAAATTGTAAATTTCATGAGTTAAATTTTACGCGAAGATATTTTAATTTAAGCGAAAAATTTGAATTCCAACGGCTCACTGCAACTATCATCACTAAATCCTTTCATTCCCGGATTAAAGATTAGATTATGAACTCGCAGAGAAATTCGTTCCCTTCCTTCCTCTTCGTCTATCTTTCTCACTCTCCTTCCCCCCCCCCATCTACTCACTTCAGCCCCTAAAGAACGAGCGCAACTTTTGCCAAGAGATACTATCTTCTCTGCAATAATTTTATTACACAATGATAAAACTTGTTTTGAGTATGAGAAAATATTTCTCTCCAATTTTTTGTTTTTCTCCCTTTTTAGATGAAACATTTCTATAATAATCTTTGTTTAAAAAACAGAGCGAAGAAAACAATTATTACTTATGTTTATTTTTTAAAGAAAAAAAAAACCAAATTCATTTTGATTAATTTTTTATAAATATTGAATATATTATATATACATTTTTAAAGACATTGAATATTATTTTTTACCATTTTTAGTTTATTATTCATTTTCTGTTAAATACTATTTTATTTTTAAATTTTATTTTTAAACACACTAGGAGAATAAATAATTAAATTTTGTAAAAGTATTTTAAAATTTAGTGGAAAAAAATGCAATAAAGGAAAATTTTGATATAAAAAATCTAGGTACTAAACTTTAAAAGAACTTATATATGAAATTTAGAATATTACAGAACAAGAAATCTAATTCAAAAAATCCAAACCAAAAAATAAAAGAAAAAAAGTCCAAAGTACAAAAAATCCAAAATAAATATAAACATTCAAAATCAATAATGAAGCATGTGAAAAATCCACGTTTATACTTTTTAGAGATAAAATCCGGAATTTAAAATTTCTAATGTTAAAATCACAGGGTTTGAATTATTTACATAAATAATAAAATTCTTCAAAAAAAAAAATTCAATTATTTTCATAAATAAAAAAATTGGTTGAAAAATTTCAATTATTCTATAAAATTTTTACAATTATTACAAGAAATACCTACAATTATTATTTTCAACAATTTTGATAAAAAATTCTTTACAAAAATTCAATTTTTTTTTTTTCAATACAATTCCAATTAAATTACTCGATTAATTTAATTATTTTCAGAAATTTAAAATGTTAATTTTACCTATACTTTCGATTCACAGTCATCGAAATAAGTTAAAAAAAAGAACAATTTAATTCTCTAATTTTAGAGAAAAAATACTGCATTATTAATTAATTTAAATTAATTAATATTAATTTTGTCTGGTGAGGGGTGGGGAGGGGGGGGGTAATGAACTTTTGAACAATTATCAATTGTTTATTTAAAATTCGACAATAGGAATTATAGTCTAAATAATTTACGAAGGAAAAAAGAATCATAAAGAATGAGTAACTATAATAGAAATTAGAATAAATAATAAATACCTAATAAAAACCTTTTTTTTTATAAAATTAGAGGTAAAATTTATTTTTCAACAGGTACATTGACGATAGAAAAGAGTGAATAATTATTGATTATAATTTTGTTAGAAATTGCAGAAAAACAATTAAATAAATTATTTTCCGTCGAGGAAAAATCCAGAATGAAAAAATAATTGTTCATTTGAAAGTAGACTTAAGAATTATTTAGTATTAACGGTCTTACAAATAAAAATTGCCTTTTTTTATAATTATGATTTATGATTATTAATCAAATAATAGTAATTATTTAGTTTTTATCAAATTTAGTATTAACAGACTTAAAGATAAAAAAATAGCCTTTTTTTCATTATTAGATATAATTATTTATTTATTTAAAAAATATACGGGTTTACAATACGAAATTATTATAAGAACTAATTATATAAGAGTAATTATTATAAATTATAATTAGTAATTTTTCTTGAGAGAGAGAGAGGCGGGGGGGGGGGCTTAAGATAAAAAATCTCATTCAGAAACATAATTTCCAGTTAGAGAAATAATTTTCAGCGTTAGTGTGCGAATTTTTTTTTTCCTTCATTTTTTTCATTTTGTAAGCAAGACTGAAACAATTTCGGAGAACAATTAACGTTTTATTTCGCGTTTAATTGAATTTACCCATTTGGGAATTTTTATTTTATTTTTTTTTTATTAACAGAGAAGCGTTTTAGGATTTAAAAGAGTTTACGCATTTACATTTCACAGTTAGTGTATTAAGGTTCTTTTTATAAAGTGGAATTTTCGTTGGGAAATTTAGGAGTTTGAAATTGACATGTTTCGTTACAGACAATCGAGCGATTGAACATTTTCAAAGTACTTGAACGTTTAATGAAAGTTTATTTCATTTTTTTTTTTTTTTTTTTTTTTTTTTTTGAAGCTATTGAGGCGCAAGCACTCAATCGGAAAACTTTCCACAAGAACATAAAATACGCAAGCACGAATAGCCGCAACACGCAACGTGAGTTTTTCGCAAGAACTGTGGAAATGTAACGAAAGTCGATAATCTGTTTTTTTTCGTTTAGAGGGAAAAAGAAACTTCTTTTCTTTTTTTTCTACTTTTCCTTAGAAGCGAATGAATGAAAAAAAGCCGGTAAAAGGTTTCTTTTCTGATAAAGAATGTTTAAAGAATTCTTCACTCCGAGGAGCTTTATTTTCATTTTTTTTTTATAATTTTTATAATTGAATCAATAAATAATATAAGAAATCCAATTAAAAGTTTTTCGAGCGTAAAATAATTCATTAATTCGTGCGATTAGAAAAAAGAAATAGTGGCTAATAAATTATTGAATTTCTTGGAGGAAATTTTATTTTCTTTTATATTTTAAATGAAAATTTTTTATTTGTTTTATTTGATATTTGTCAAGTAGGTATTTTATTGAAAATTGTGTAAATGTATTAAAAAAGCAATTTATTCATTCGATTTTGCTTTTAGATTTCCTTTCAGTCATTGATTTAAAACAATGTTTTATTTTGTATTTATTTCAAATGCTGTTTGTAGAAACAGAAAATTACATTTTATTTTTTTTCCCCCTTTTCAAACAGAATACAAAAGGGGAAAAATTCTCTTTGATTTACTTGAAATAGATACGAATTTAATATTTTTTTTGTGTTTTTAAACTTTAGACAATAATTATATCATAATTATTTCCGACATGTGAATAAATAATAATTAATTAAATTTGAAAATTTCTATTTTATTCGAACAAAATAACCAACTTTTAATTCGGACGATTTTTCTGTTACTTTTCCCAATTAAAAACTTTTTCAAAAAAATGTTAATTTGTAACTTTTTTAATTTTTCATTTCTGACAATGCTAAAACTTCTAATAAAGCAGGAAATTTTTTTAAATTTAATATAAATTTAATTTTTTTTTAAACACAAATTTTTTAAAATTAAAAAAAATTTTTTTGCTTTTTTTTTAATTTAAATTTTTTTCATATTTATATTAAAGCGAAACAATTTTTAATTATATTCTTTAGGGGAAAAGATATTTTTTCAAAGTCATTTTTTAAAAAAATTTTGTTAATATTTTTTTTAATTCCTTTTTTTTAATAATAATAATTCTTTTCTTCCAAATGCGATAAAAGAGAAAAATTTTAATAGTCGAATAAAAGTCGCTTCCCTTATCGATACCAAAAAATTTTATTCTACGTACCGCAATAAATTATAAAATAATACCAATAAATCAAGAACCATTAAAGTAGAAACAATTCTAATGAATAAAATACAAATAATTCACGAAAGTAAATGAGATTAATATGTTTTCCAATAAAATGATAATACTCTCATAAATAAAATGAAACCCCCTGATGCATTTCACTGTCAAATAACTGACAACGAAAATTATTTTTAATTCTTCTCCACTTCATTTTTCTTAAAAAACAATTACTCACCTCATTTAATCGCATAAAATTCTTCCTTTATGCGATTAATTTTTGACGAGGTTAATTAATTCATAAAAAAATAATCGATTTCTAGAAAAAATCAAGTAAAAAAATACTATTCTCCATTTTTGAATAAAAAGAAAGGAGGAAAGAAGAAAAAAGAAGATATAAAGTTCACATATATGGTCCAATCAACTGTATCCATCCTAAGGTCGTTCACTTCACAACCTATGTTTACAGCTTATGTCAATATTTTTACTATCCATTTAGTTTCATGGTTTTGCAGTTTCAACGAAATTGCCCGTCGAGAATAAAGTTGACACTTAAAAAATAAAAGTCTATTGTTTGTCGGAGAATTTTTTTTTTGTTTTCTTTCTCTCTTTGAAAAAATGATTTTTTCCAAACATAGAAAATATTTTTTTTTTTTCCTATAATCCAGAAATTAAAGCACTAAAATAGTGTACTCACCGGTGTTCCTTTAAATGACGACGTAAGAGCGGAAGAACTTTTTTTTTTTTTTTTATCAAAAAAAAAACTAATCACAAAGTACGGAATTTAAGAAAAAAGAAGAGGAAAAATTTTTAAAAAAGAAAAACACACACGAATACGAAAACGATCGAAAATTGATTTTTTTTTTTATCAAAACAAAAATACGACAGAGAGAATAGGGGAGGGGCTGATGTGGGGGGGAGGGTAAAATTGATAAATTTTAAATAATTTTTTTTGCGGTTAATTATTTTTTTTTTCTTATTCTTCTTCTTCTTCTCTATTATAAAATCGCGAACATGTAAACCGTGCGTGACCGGAGTTTTGCGACAACTAGACGGACGGTTTCAAGAGAGAGAGAAGAGAGACATTGAACGAGGTTTCGAGGTTGCGGCAGTCGTGGCACGACGGGTTTTAGAGGGTTGGTTTCTGCGGAGGAGCCGACACCGCCCTCGCGCGAAATTCCTCGGGCGCGGCGACACGCGCCGACGCGAATACCAACGAATACGCAAACGCAAACATACAACCATGGTTTGGTCCATTTCAAGCTTTTCACCCCTGCCACTAGAGTCTAAGCAGTCAAAATGGAATGGGGGGGGGGGGAGAGGGAGTCTCTATTCTGCCTACGAAATTTTCGACAATTTTTCTCTTGGGTAAAAGAAGAGAGAGAGTGAGAGAGAGAGAGTGGTGTTTTTGGGGTGGGGAAAGAAGGAAGGGGAATAGATTTTTTCTCCAGGGATGAAAGAGAGCGAGGAAGATGAAAAAATTAATTACCACACGATTAATATTTTTCCCCTTACCCTCGCAATTAGAACTCCGGTTTTTATGTCTTTCTTGTAAAAATTTTTGAACATATTTCGTATATACCAAAAATTAAAAATTACGGACCAATTATTACTGACAAAAATATAACAAGTCAAATAACAATAATAATAAAATATAACTAAAATAAAAAAAATCTATAAAAAAAATTTTTTTTTAATATTAAAAAATTATAATTATATAATAATATAACTGGTCAAATAATAATAATAATAATAATAATAATAATAATAATAATAATAATAAGCAATAATAATAAAATATAACTAAAATAAAAAAAATAAAAAAAATTTTTTTGTTATTATTAAAAAATTAAAATTATATAATAATATAACTGGTCAAATAATAATAATAATAATAATAATAATAATAATAAGCAATAATAATAAAATATAACTAAAATAAAAAAAATAAAAAAAATTTTTTTGTTATTATTAAAAAATTAAAATTATATAATAATATAACTGGTCAAATAATAATAATAATAATAATAATAAGAAATAATAATAAAATATAACTAAAATTAAAAAAAATTAAAAAAAATTTTTTTTTATTATTAAAAAATTATAATTATATAATAATATAACTGGTCAAATAAGAGAACATTATACTTAAAATTATAAATTAAATTTTTTCATAACTCCGAGTCTTCGACTCGGAGTGATCAATTTCTTCATGTTTTATAATATAACCAAAGATGGTAAATTGATAAAATCATTATTTTATATTATATAAGAATATTGTCCTTTTTTTAAAACTTTTTTATCATTTCAATTCAATTATTATTTGTAAGAATTTTTCACTAAAATTTTTCTTTAAATCAATTAATTGTCGAAAATATATTTCAACAATTTTCCTCGCAATTTTCAAAATTCATTTATTTGCAATATTAAATTTTACAAATTTCAATTATTCGTGAATTCTTCAATTAAATATATATGTTACCGGCAAAGTATGTAATCAGGCATTTTATAAAATACCTAGGCAGTATATAAAATGCCTGTCTGTCTCAGGCAATGTGTATAAAAAAAAGATTTTCTATACATTGCCTAGGCATTATATAAAATGCCCACTAGACTTTAGGCAAAGTATAAAATTTAGTTTTATTTCAAATAATATACATTTTTCTGTTATAAAAATATTAACTTTCTTTTGTAATTTATTTGTTACAACACGGCATACTTGAATGACATTTCGACTGACACTGGACCTTATTTTTTATGCATAAATATTTGTTGCTTTGACAGTTTTTTACAAGAACATTTTACAAAACCTTGGCCTGTTCCTTTTTCTCGGTAGCTTTAACATTATTAACATCACTTATCAACTGCTTATACCGTTCGTCTGATAAAAATATACTGTTTTTTGCCATTGCATTTTTAATTTTAGAAAATTCGGAAAAAATCTATCCCTTGTCACTGAAACATTTCCTATTTCTGCACTCATTTTAAGTTCAAATTTATGTTTCTGCGACTGATTACCTCAAAATGTGAGAATTGACTGACAAAATTTGTATTTTCTGTTAATTAAGTATTATTCTTAAGAGTTAGAAATATTGAACTTCATTGTATAAAATTACTCACTGCTAACATGCAGCTATGTAAACATAGCTAAAATACTTATTGTTATATACTTATTATTTTCTATTTGTAATAGAAAAATCGTGGAAAGTGTTTATAGAAAAAGGTAGACGTTTCAAGCTGCTGAGACTATTATATACTTTACCTTATGCTCGATGGGCATTTTATAAAATACCTAGGAATTTTATAAAATGCCTAGGCAATATATGAAAAAATAATTTAATTATATACATTGCCTGAAATGGACAGGCTTTTTATATACTGCCTAGGCATTTTATAAAATGCCTGGATTTCATACTTTGCCGGTAACATATATATATATATTAGAAAATAGAAAACTTCAATTAATATAAAAAAATTTCAATTACTTTTTTTAAAAAAAATTAATGTCAAAATTCAATTATTTCTAAAAATTCAAGCTATATTTTTATTTATTAAATAAATTTGACAAAAGTTCCATTTAATTGGAAATTTAATTTAATCTTTTTACATTAATTATTGGAATTTAACTATATTTTTGATAAAATTTAAATTATGAAATTCTTCAGAAGACTAATTCTTTTCATAATTTATCTAAATTAAAGTATTTAAAGACTGCAATTTAAAAGACTTTTAAAATTTAATTATTTCTAAAAAAAATCATACTATAACTTTTCTAATATTCGATTATTAGGTATCAAAAAATTTAACTGAAATTCATTTTTAAATCAATTTTTATCAGAAAATTCAACGAGAATAAATTCAATTATTTACATTTTTATAAAGAATTTTAACAAAATTATTGAAAATAATTTAATTTTTTCGAAGAATTTTAATCAATTTTTTAAGAATAATTGCATTTTTAGATGAATTTATTTAAAATTGTACATTAAAAATAATTGAATAGCTATTATAAGACTTTTATTATTTACGAAAATAATTAAATTTTTTAGAAACATTTTATTAAAATTGTATTGAAAAAATTGAAATTCTGACAAAACATTTTTATTATTTACGAAAATAATTAAATTTTTCGAAAAATTTTATTAAAATCTTTGAAAATAATTGAATTCTTATAAAGAATTTTATCAACAATCTTTTAATAATTTAATTTTTTTGAAGATTTTTAATAAAGTTTTAAAGAATAATTGCATTTTTAAAAAAATTTATTTAAAATAAATTGTATATTAAACATAATTTGAAGAGCTACTATAAGAATTTTATTATTTACGAAAATAATTAAATTTTTTAGAAACATTTTATTAAAATTGTATTGAAAAAATTGAAATTCTGCCAAGATTTTTATTATTTACGAAAATAATTGAATTTTTCGAAAAAAATTTTCTAAAATCTTTGATAATTAAATTTTTACAGAAAGTTTTATCAACAATTTTTTAAATAATTGAATTTTTTCGAAGAATTTTAATAAAATTTTTAAGAATAATTTCATTTTTTGAGCAATTTTTTCAAAATTGTATTAAAAATATTTGAGAAATTCAAACTATATTGCTTTTAATATTCCATTATTATCTAAACTTTTAACTGAAATTCATTTTTAAATAAATTTTTATTCAAAAATTCTACCAGAATTCAATTATTTAAATACAAAAAAAATAATTTATTGAATATTTGAATTTTTCTTAAAATTCAATTCTCATAAAGAATTTTATCAAAATATTTTTAAATAATTGAATCCCTAAGAAGAATTTCACTATTTTTGAACACAATTAAATTTCTGCGAAGGATTTTATGACTCTTGACTTGATAACAATTGATTTTCTGCAATAATTTGTAAATTCTCCAAAATTAAATCTTTTTAGTGTTAACTAAAATTTTTCTATAAATCCATTAAGTCTTAAATGGATTTTATAAATCCATTTAATAAGTTTTAAAATAGTTTTTTGAGAATTTTCTAATTCATTTGTTTTTAACTGAAATTCATTATTAAATAAATTTTTATTCGAAAATTCTACTAGAATTCAATTACTTGAAAAGAAAAATAAATTAATTCATTGAATATTTGAATGTTTCTTAAAATTTAATTCTCATAAAGAATTTTGTCAACAAATTTTTAAATAAATGAATTCGTTTGACGAATTTTAATGAAATTTTTAATAATAATTACCTTTATAGAGGGATTCGATTAAAATTTTATTAACAAATTTTTAAATAATTTTGAATTTTTTGGAAGATTTTATTAAATAATAATAGATATATATTAAAAATCATTGAATTAAGGGAAATTTTTGACAATACCTAATTGAAATTTTGCCAAGAATGTTATTAATATGTTTGAAAATAATAATTGAATTTCGGAGAAGAATTTTATTATTTATAAAGGTAATTGAAATTTTAAAGAGACTTTTTAAAAAATTTTGAACATTATTGAATTTTTGCGAAGAATTTTATTACTTTTGAAAATAATTGAATTTTGCAATAATTTGTAATTTTTTTTCTAAATAATAAAATTTTTTTTTGTGAATTCAATTATTTTCAGAAATAAGAAAACTCAATGCAGTTACACTGTATAAATTTTTAAGAATTTTTACGAATTATTTATGGTGAATCTTCGAAATTTTCTAGGAAAAATGCTTTTCCTTAAAAGGCTGGTGAAAATTACCAAAGAATTTAATAAAAGAATAAAATAAAAGAATTCAATTATTTTAAAAAAAATGTAATAAAATTCGTTGCAAAAATTCAATTATTTTCATAAATAATAAAATCCTTCGCAGGATTTCAATTATTCCAAAAAATTATGCAATAAAGTTTGTTGCAAGAATTCCATTATTTTTATTAAGTAATAAAATTTTTCACAGGATTTCAATTATATTTAATACAATTTTAAATAAATACTCCGAAAAATGTAATTACTTTCAAAAAATATTGAAAATTTTTTGTTAGAACTCAATTACTTTTCATAAGTAATGAAATTCTTCGTTGAAATTCAAATATTTTTCAAAATCTACTATTTTAATGAAATTTCTCAAAATAATTCAATTATTTAAAAAAAAAATGTAATAAAATTCGTTGCAAAAATTCAATTATTTTCATAAGTAATAAATCGATTATTCAGAAATTCTTCAATTAAATATATAATTAAAATTTTCAAAAGACCCATAAGCTCAAGACAAAAAAAGTGGAAGATTTTGAGAAAAGTGGTGGTAAGACTGTCGAAAAACACGTTTTTTGGATTCTGACCACCACTTTTTTCAAAAACTTGCCATGCTAGACAATTTTGTGACACGAGTTCGTATTCATCGGTCAAAAATACACTGAAAACCACTCCAATATCGAAAATAGCAAAAAAAAATGTTTTTGGGTCTCTTACCCCCACTTTTTTCAAAATCCTGACATGCCAGACAATTTTGGAACCCGAAGTCGTGTTCAGAACACAAAAATACATTGAAAATGACTACAATATCGAAAATAACCGAAAAAAATTTTTTTTTTTGGGTCCTTTACCCCCATTTTTTTCAAAATCCACTATTTTTTTGGTCTTACTCATATAGGGTCTTAAAATAAACATTAGAAACTTTAATTTAACGTCTCATGGAAGTATAGCACGTCAGATTGAAGAGAAAAATGTTTTGAAACCCCCCCAAATATTTTTGGGCCTCTATCCCCACTTTTTTCAAAAATTTAACTTGACAGGCAATTTTGAAGGAACGTAGCAAAATTTACTCTGCAAAAATAGAAAAAGTGTCGGGTATTTTTTTTTTTTTTTTTTTTTTTGCTAGAAAAAATAGTAAAAGTTGCTCTATAAATCAATTTATTTCTATACAATTCGCCAATTTTTGTAAAATTGCATTTAACGGAAAAAAAATTTCAGCTAAATTGCAATGAAGATTTTCTCTAAAATCGAGTTTTAGAAACTTCGTGAAAGAAATTGAAAACAATACTTGTCTCTCGATTTCTAATATATAAAAGCAAAGTATATTTTCCTTGCCAAAAAACTATTCCAATAAGTTTCGTTTAAATGGGAGCGTAGGAGAAGAAATTATTTCTTTTCTTTTTCATTTCATTCATTTATTTCAGTAAACTATTTAAGGAAAAGCAAATTTTTTAAACCTTTGCCGAAAATTAGTCCTTTGCTAAATCCTAAGAAAAAATTTAAATTTACCAAATGCCAAGAACAAAATAAAAAACAAACATATTTTCAAAAATTTAGAGGACAATATTTTCCTTTGAATTTTTGAAAACAGAGTTTATTTTTTCGTTTAAAATTTAAAAAACAATTTTGTTCGTTTTTCCCTTTTAAAATTTAAAAAGAAGTTTGTTTTTTCGCTTAAAATTTAAAAACAAGTTTGTTTCATTTGTTTTTTCGTAAAAGGGAAGGAAAAAAACAAGACTATAATGCGGATTCAATTAAACTGAAAATATGCGAAAAAAAAACTTTTTTAATCACAGCTGAATGTGTATATCATGTTGATGTCTTTTTCTTTCACGAGTCACGGGGAAGGTCGCAGAGAGCGAGTGAAACGAGTTTTCAGCACAGCCTATCTAACTTCTTTTCAATGAATTTCTACGGACTTTACGTACATACTTGAGCTATAAAGCACTTGACACTTTTCGACTTGAAAATTTTTCAATCTCACTTCCGTCTTGTATATACATATATATATTTAAATATATATCGCAATAAGTCATAAAAAACTTGGCAACAAATTAGTAAAAATTTTTCATTAAACAGTTAAAATAATTTTCCGCTCAGAAAAGCGAATTCTTTTCCCAAACAAATTTTAGATTAATTATTATATTTTAAATAATTTAATTTATTTAATATTTACAGAAAAAGTATTTAATTTACACGAAACTAAAAAATAATAAAAAATAAATAAATCAAAAAATGAAAATTTGTTTACTTTGCAGAATATTTTATTATTTATTATTTTACTTTCTATTCATTTTATTGTTTTAATTTTTATTATAAATAAAATTTATAATTACTTATTATTTTCTTATTTCATTTTATTGTTTTAATTATATAAATAAATAAATAATAGTTATAATTAGTTTACTTACTATTAATTTTTTATTGTTTTATTTATTTTAATTATAAATTTTATTCATTATAATAATTAAAACAATAAAATGAAATAAATAATTATTTATTTTATTTATTAGTTATAATTAATTCTATTTATTCGAATAAAAAAAGATTGTTAATTTATACAATAAATTTACTATTTAATTTTTTTTTTTTTAATTTTTTTAATAAATGTAAAAACTGTCTATTTATTCCTTTATTAGAAGTGAAAAAAATTTTTAAGTAAAATTGAAACAAAAAAATAAACTTTTCTTATAGCGAAATAAAAAAAAGTAACATTTTTGTTACTGTCGAACCTCTAAAACTGGGCTAGAGAGCCTCTTGCGCAGTTAAATTTAATTTCTTGACATTACTTTGTTGAAGTACCATGACTTATTATACTTCAGGTTTTAAACTCGAAGTTGCAAAATTCCCCAGGAAAGTGAATTAAAACTATAACGGAGTTGAACTAATAGAGAAATTTTTTTTAACAAAAAGTTTTCTATAAAATTGCACAAAAAAAATTTTTTATTTTCAAACTTTTGAAAGTATTTTACATTTTAAACACAAAATATTTTTTACATAAATCCTAGCGCTGATATTGTACATTACAGAAAAAAATACATTTTTCCAAAGATTTGTTTAGTAAAAAATTTTAGCAAACAAGATATACTTTACTAAGTATTTTTCACCAAAACAAAATTTTTTAGCGAAAAAACATATTTTTCTTTAATTTGTTTTTTTTTTATTTGCAAAATATTATTTATTATAAATATTTTATTTATTATTTATTTATTTAAGAATAAAATAGTTGCTAGGGCATAATAATATTTTTTCTAAAATACATTTTACCAAAAAGTATAATTCACTAACGCAAGTACTTTCAACCAATAGAATATTTTAGCAAAGAGAATAATTTACTAACAAGTATTTTTCACCAAAAAAAATAATTTATCAAAAAATGTAGATATTTTATAGAAAACCAATATATTTTTCTAAAGTTATATTTGCTAAAATATATTTTACCAAAAAATTTTTTTTTGTATAATATATTTTAGCAGAAATAGAATTAATAAAATATATGTTTTTCTCCAAAATTCTTGTGAATAAAAACACTTTTTAGAAAATTATAATTATAATATAATATTATAATAATTATAATTATAATTATAATTATAATTATTTTCTTAAAATCCACTGAAATGTCCATTATTGTTTAATAAATAAAAAATAGAATAATCAAACTTTTGTTTGATAGAAATTTTACTAAAAATCGGAGGTAACGTGTTATGTTTTTTCAAAGTTTAACTTTGAAACTCAATTTTCTATTTAAATTAAATAATTAAAAATATATAAATTTTTTTATCAGAAAATTCAGAAATTCTACTTTTGAAATCGCCAATATAAAAAGTAATTTGGTTCTACTGAATGAAAGAAATATGCATTCAAAAATTGTCTTACATTGGCAATTGTTTACGAAGGGGGTCGTTTTGAAATGGAATTCCTCATATAATACAGAAGAAATTAATTATTTCTAAAGATAATTGAAATTTTTACGAGGATTTTTAAAAATTTTTGAACATAATTGAATTTCTGCAAAGAATGTTATTAGTTTTGAAAATAATTGAATTTCTGCAATCATTTGTGATTTCTCTAAAATTATCCAAATTACATGGTACAATTTACCAACTTTTCGACCTTTTTCAATTAAATTAGAGACTTTACTGACCTTTTTTCAAAAAAAGCAACTTTTACGGACTTTAAGCAAGGTTACGGACTTTACGGACCTAGTTCGAGCCCTGATTGTACCAAAAAATATAATATTTACTAAAAAATACTCTACTAGTACTCTCTAACTCTACTTTTGCTAAAATTTATTGTACCAAAAAATATTTTTTAATAAATAAATACTTTAGTGTTGACTATTAGCAAATACTACTAATAAATTAGTATAGAAATTACTATTTATTATTAAAATTTACTAAATCAAAACCAAAAAGTCAATCATTAATATATTATATAAATATAATAATAATAATTATTATTATTATGAAACTAATATATTATACATAGAGTTTATTATATAAAGTTAAAAAGAAGAAGTGTCATAAAAAATGTAATTCAATTCAGTTAAGGGAGAAACGTAAAGTATTAATAATAAAAAGAAAGGCCAACGAAACATATATAATAACCGTTAAGCTTAAGTCCTGTGGAAACATAAACAGCGAACATATTTCCTGCGTTAGGTGAGGTCATATAACTACTCCATCTCCATCCGTTTCTAGGGAAACGTTACTAAAATGGATCAAACTGGTTTTAGGGTTGTACACTCCTTCTGGTCACTAGACTGAATACAACAACTCCATGCATGTATATATATATGTAGGCACGAAACGAAATAGTTCACCACACGACAACATGATACCACTCAGAATCTTGTTAATTCATTGATTGTTTCAAACGACCAACTAAATTGGACATATATTCATGATAAGCCCGCAACCATTCAGGTAATTATCATTAACGATCATTTGTTCTCAAAAGTGCTTTGAAGAAACGAAAATAAAAAAAGAAAGAGAGAGAGAGAGAGAGAGAGAAATTCATACTCCTCATTATCGATTTTTATTGCACTGTGTACTTGCTTATTACCAGGAGATGAAAAAACTTTTTCTTCTAATATATATATATATGTATCATTCTCTCTTTATTTCTGCGGTATTAATTTTTTTTGTCCTTACACTCAGGAAAAAAATTACTCAGAGCTAACTAGACTTTTTGTGTTTCAAATAAATTTTATTTGGTTCAAATACAATTTTAATTGGTTCAAATAAATTTCAATTGGTTCGAATACAAGTTTAATTGGTTCCAATTAATGTTATTTAATTTGAATAAAATTCTATTTAGTTTGAATACAAGTTTAATTGGTTCAAATAAATTTCATTTGGTTCAAATACAAGTTAAATTGGTTTCAATTAATTTGATTTAATTTAAATAAAATTCTATTTGGTTTGAATAAAATTTTATTCAGTTCAAATAAAAATTATATTTTTGTCGAAGAAAATTTTATTTGGTTCAAATAAAAGTTACATTCGTTTTGAAAAAAATTCTATTCACTTTGAAGAAAATTTTAATTTGTTCGAATACTAATTTAATTGCTTCAACTAAAATTCATTTGGTTCGAATACAAGTTAAATTGGTTTAAATAAATTTTATTTAATTTGAATAAAATGTTATTTGGTTTAAATACAAGTTACATTGGTTTCAATTAATTTGATTTAATTTGAATAAAATTCTATCTTGTTTGAATACAATTTTATTTAGTTTAAATAAAAATTATACTTGTGTCGAAGAAAATTTTATTTGGTTCAAATAAAAGTTAAATGGCGTTGAAAAAAATTATATTTATTTTAAAGAAAATTTTATTTGGTTCAAATACAAGTTTAATTGCTTCAGATAAATTTCATTTGGTTCGAATACAAGTTAAATTGGTTCAAATTAATTTTATTGGGTTCAAATACAAATTTTAATTGGTGACAATAAATTTTATTTTATTTGAATAAAATTCTATTTGGTTTAAATACCAACAATTTTATTTGGTTCAAATTAAAATTATACTTGTGTTGTAGAAAATTTTCTTTGGTTTGAATAAATTTCATTTGGTTCGAATACAAGTTTAATTGGTTCAAATAAATTTCATTTGGTTCGAATACAAGTTGAATTGATTCCAATTAATTTTATTTAATTTAATTCAAATAAAATTTTATTTAATTTGAATATAATTTTATTTGGTTCAAATAAAAATTATATTTTTGTCGAAGAAAATTTTCTTTGGTTTGAATAAAATTTTGTTGGTTCAAATAAAAGTTATATTCATGTTGAAGATAATTTATGAAAATAATAATTAATGTTTATTAAGAGAAAAAAATTCTAAACTATTAAAATCTGTTTTTTTATTTAAAAATTAATTTTTAAATTTCGTGACAAAGTATTAATTTTAATGTACCCACGATAACTAAAAATTAATTTAAAAATTAATATTTTTTGTGTTAAATTCCCATGTGTGAGAAACGGGTGTCAATTCGAAATTAAAAATGTGAATGGAGGCAAAAATTTAATTCGTAATATATATAATTTAATAAAAGAAAGAAAAAATTTGAAGGTCAAGGATATTTGGAACATGGAATCAGAATTTTCTGTTTTGGAGCATGGAGCTATATTATCAGCATTGGAGGAATGCACAGACGCATTAGCCATATACCAGTACACACTAAAGAAGCCATCAGTGCATATAGGCATTGATATCGACTGCATTCCACCGGAAGTGAGGTACCAGTTTCAGAAATGCATGTAACTTGACATAAGGACTGTATATAGGGAATATTTCAAAACAGTGGCGTAGAATTTACAAGAATTCTTTCCAAAAGACTCAAATTTACATCGTTCGTTTTGCATTGATACAAATTTTCCCTCTTATTGTCAATTTGATTCAAAAATTTTCAATTTAGTACGAAAATTGACAATTTGTTTTCAAATTTGAACAGCCGGAAAGTAAAACCACATATCAAATTTGTACAGATATTTTCATTGGTCCCTGATGCCTGAAAAATCAATGTGGAAAATACAAATTTCAGTTTAATTTATTTTTTCCGTTATTTTCAAAAAATAAATTTGGCTGAAATTTACGTTTGAAACATTGATTTTTTAAATATATGACAGGTCAATATGAAAACGATTAAACAAATTTGTTAATTTTAGCCTAATATTTTCTTTTGGCAACAATTTGGTTAAAAAAAAAAGTCAAATTTAAATACGAAAAGTATCAAATTGATCCAAATGCTTGGTTTTGGTATTAATTTAAAAATTTTGGTACCAAACAAAAGTACAAAAATTTTCAATTTAGGCAAATGTTTTTTTTTGTGTCAACTTGGTTAAAAAAGAGTCGAATTGGTACCAAAAGTATCGAATTGATTTAAATTTTTGTATTAATTTCAAACTTTTGGTATCAAACAAATGTACACAAATTTTTAATTTTAGCCAAATGTTCTTTTTTGGTATCAATTTGGTTTAAGTACCAAAAGCATCAAATTGGTCCAAATGTTTGGTTCACTTTTAAGCCTGCTTTTAAGTGAATTTAATTAGAAATTTTAAAGAACTTAGTTTCTTGAAAAATTGTAATGATTCAAATTCTTCTGAAATTAGTTACATTTATTAATATTCATATATTTTATTAATTATTAAAAATAATGTATTTCTCGAAGAATTTTATAGTTAAAAATATTAAAAACAATTGAATTTTAGAAAAATTATACCAATGATTGCAGAAATTCAATTATTTTCAAAAGTATAATAAAATTCTTCGCAGAAATTCAATTATGTTCAAAAATTAAAAAAAATTCTCATTAAAACTTCAAATATCCTTATATAAATAATAAAATTTTTCTCTGAAATTCAATTATTTTAAAAAATTTTAATAAAATTCTTGTCAAAATTTCAATTATTTTCAAAAATTTTCTTTAATGCAATGATTTTTAATATCTACTATTTTAATATCAAATTTTCCAAAAGAATTCAATTATTTAAAAAAACTGTTAATAACATTCTACGCAAACTTTTACTTATTTTCATAAATTAATAAAAAATTTCACAGAAATTTAATTATTTACAAACTTTTTATAAATGTCTTCGCAATAATTTAATTATTTTCATAAATAATAAATTTTTTTACTGAGATTCAATTACTTTCATTAATAATAAAATTCTTTTTAGGAATTCAATTATTTTTTTAAATAATAATACTCATAGCAGAATTTCAATTATTTTTTTAAATAATAATACTCATAGTAGAATTTCAATTATTTTTCATACAATTTTAATCGAATTCATCGAAAAATGTAATTAATCTCAAAAATTTTATTATATTTTGGCAAATGAATTCAATGTTAGAAAACATTCAATTATTCAATAAATTATTTATTTTTGTACGTAAATAATTGGATTATCGTAGAATTTTCTTATAAAAATTAATTTAAAAATTAATTTTAATTAAAATTTTTGATTATAATTGAATTTTTAAATTATTATAGAATCCATTTTTAGATATAATCGAATTTTGAAAATTCAATTATTTTTCAAAATTTGTTTATATTAATTCAGTTTTCTATTTAAAAATAATATTGATAAAATTTTTCGCAAACATTTAATTACTTTCGTAAATAATAAAAATTTTCACAAGAATTCAATCATTTCCAAATTTTTTATAAATTTTTTCACAATAATTCAATTATTTTCGTAAATAATAATATTTTTTTATAGGGTTTCAATTATTTTCAATAATAATAATACTCGTCATAGAATTTCAATTATTTTTGATACAATTTTAATAGATTTGCTTGAAAAATGTAATTAATCGATAAAATTTTATTATAATTTGTCGAAGGAAATTTTGAAAAACATTCAATTTCATCACTCTATCATCTTTAATTTGAAAAAATCGATAACTCCGAGTCAAAGACTCGGATTGATCGATATTTTCATGTTTTATAAAAATATTTTTATAAGTTATTGAATTTTAAAAATATTTGAATTTGAATGTTTTGAAGAATTTTAATTCCTATGAAAAATAGTAATGATTGAATATTTAATAAAAAAATAAGTTATTGATGTTTTCGAAAAATTTTTACAATTAAAGAAATTTGTAAATAAATATAATAGAAAATTTTTTGAGTTTCTTATAATTTTTAGAGTGAATCAAAATATTCTTTAGGGTCAGGGAAAAACTAAAAATATTGTCTGGGAAATCAGGGAAAAACAAAATAAAATTTTTGTGGCAACCTTGTTTTGGTACAAATTTATCGCCGTTTGGTATCAATTTGACACTTATTACAAAAATAAATAATAAATACTTTTCTTAATAAATTCAATGCTTTTTTGGTATATAAATTCGACTCTTTCTAGAAATAATTAAACATCTTTTGATTTTACGTACTTTCAAATAAATCATATGCGACACTTATATTACAATATTTTCATTTTATTAGATACTCAAAGAAAATTCAACAAAATGGAAATAATAATTCGAATAATGTCGTGGAGAATTTTATCGAGCAACGTGCAATATTTGATAAATTACAACGAGATGGGTCTGTTAAAGAAATTACTTTTTCTAAAATTAAATTAACTCCTCTTTTTTTTCCCTTCTCTTATCTTCATTTAATGTAATAATGCGCAGTTTGTACATAGAGAGGCTTGTGACAGAGACGAAGAAGATTTTTCACAAGAATGGATATCTCGACATGTTGATCGATGAAGTCGAAAAGGAGGAAAGTCGAAAAAGCCGAGAAGAATTTTTATTAACGGAAAGTTTACAATTGGAGAAGGAATTGTCGAGTCTCTGCCAAATCAGAGACGGGGAAATTTTAACTAATAAAGAGGAGGCTGAAAGTTTGCAGCAAAAATTACTTGATAGAAAGGTATAATATTTAAATTATAGTTGTGAAATAAACGCGAAGAAAAACAAACTTTCAAGAATAGAAATCAAAGAATGAACAATACTAAAACAAATCAAAGAAACATAAAAAACAAATAAAAAAAAATAAAACAAATCCTCGAACAAATCAAAGAAACAACAAACAAAACAAACAAAGAAAAAGCGAAAGAAACACAAGAAACAAACAACAATCATGAAAATACAAAAAGAATAAAAAAATGAAAAAAATTGCTTTCATGAGAATTATTTTTATGGTTAAAAATATTTTACAGAGGGAAATGAACGAGATGACGAGTAAGGCACATGTGGAGTTGAACTATATAACTGCTTGGAAAAAGACACAATGTCAGCAAAGTATTTTACGTGGGAATATTACTTTAAAGAGTCTGAATTTAGCTCAGAGGGAGTGTATTATTCTCAAGGAGAATGAACGTCGTGTAACTGAGAATATCGAAGCCTTTCTCCTGCAGAACTTGGCTGTAAGATCGCAATTGCTTTTCTATCACAAAAAGGAACCCCCCCCCCTCGCCCAAAAAAATACACTGAGAAAAAAAAGTTATCGAATCAATGACATATTTGTTTGTCGCAATTCAATATCGTTCGAATACAAATACTGTTATTGGTTTAATAACATATATGCTATTCATTATTGCATACTGTTGATTTGAATTTCCTTATATACCAAAATTGACGAAATTAATACCGCTTGTGAGAGAAAAAAATTAATTTTCCAAGCAGATATATTTCTGTACATCACTAATTTTTAAAATAATTTAAAAACTTTCCTTTTTTTCACGTTTGAATCCATTTTTTTTATCTACTATTTATTTTCCTTTTATTCTCTATTTTTCTTATCAATTTTTTTTCCTTTTTTTTTGAGGCGAATGAGAAGCAGTCAGTGCATAGGAAACAGAGGCACGTCAAAGAATCAACGATGTATGAGGATGAAATCCGACAACTCAGAAACGAAATAGAAATTCGTCGAAGCGTTCTTGAGGATCTCAAACGTGAGGTATATGTTTGATTTGCGAACGATTATTATTATATCATCATACCTCAAGGGGCAAATTAACTGGCGCATGTGACATGAAAACTTCTACCTACACACACTTATATATATAGTATATAGTAAAATGAAGTTTATATGTCAAGAAACTTTATGAAATTATGAGCAATCTTATTTTCTCATGGGGGAAATTTAATACCATATTTTATACGTCTCCTCGTTTATCTTGTATATACACACGAAAAGTTGTAAATTTTACCATATCTAAGAAAAATATTTTCATTATATCATTTCCAAATTAACCCTTATTTAACGGTTATACGTTTATAGCCGTTTTGGCAATTATATATCACAGTTTTATCTCATCTGGTAAATAATCTTCTTACTAAAGAAAATTCGGATTTTTTTTATCGATATCTCTATATATGTATATCAATTTTTCATATTAATTGTTAAATTAATTTTCAAAAATATAGATGAAGGGTGCGGGTAATTTTTTATATATTTTTTTTGTCAGACTTGTAAAATAATGTGTGCCTGTAATAACACACAGAGGAAAGGATAAAATTGGGTATGGCAATATCAAGGTGACATTCTGGAACTCATGAAAATGCAAAAGGCGAGGACAGAGAAACTGCGCCCTACTGCGTTTATTACCCTGGCACTCTACAGAAATTAAATGCGATTGTTTTACGTCAAAAAGCTTCTTTACTGTATTTTAACTAGTAAACTCAATCTGAAAATCGTTAACTTATATATCATACGCGACATTTGAGGATTTTCACCTCCTTAATAAATCTGTTTCCTCGTTAAAAATAGTCATAAGCAATAGTGGTATATTATTAGCAGTACGAGTAATGATAAATAGTAAAAGTATTAGCAGTACTAGTATCAAATTTTACAAATTTAGACAAATGTATTTTTTGGTACCAATTTGGTTCAAAACGAGTAAATTTGGGGTGCCGTAAACCTAGCGGCCCGCCATCCGCCAGACACCTGACAAATCCATAGGCATCGCAACCGAATAATACGACATGATCCATTCTTCATTCTTTCTTTTTCGTGATAAATTCTTTCACTATAGGGTTAAATATAAATATTCTACAAACATAATGTAACATAAAAATGGATGCAGTATTTTGACTAGTAATTTTGCTAAAATTATTTTACAAAAGTAATTTCTAGTAAATAAACATATAATGAACAAAAGACAACTACAAAATCAATAGTTTATTAACAATTGAAATTTTAAAGCTCTTAGCTTCGCAAAACTCGAAAATTCGATTGTCTGCTAATTGGCGGATGGAGTATTTTGACTAGTAATTTTACCAAAATTATTTCACTAAAATTAATTCTTGTTAAGAAACATCTAAGGAACAATATCCAACAACAAAATCAATTGTTTATCAAGAATTAAATTTTTTAAAGCTCTTTGCTTCACAATACTCAAAAATTCAATTGTCTGCTAATTGGCGGATGGAGAATTTTGACTAGTAATTTTGCCAAAATTATTTTACAAAAGTAATTTCTAGTAAATAAACATTTAATGAACAAAAGGCAACTACAAAACCAATTTTTTATCAACAAATAAATTTTTTAAAGCCCTTAGCTTCGCGAAATTCGAAAATTCAATTGTCTGCTAATTGGCGGATGGAGAATTTTGACTAGTACTTTTGCCAAAATTATTTCACTGAAGAAAATTCTCGTAAATAGTCATCTAATGAACAAAAGGCAACTACAAAACCAATTGTTTATCAACAAATAAATTTTTTAAAGCCCTTAGCTTCGCGAAACTCGAAAAATCGATTGTCTGCTAATTGGCGGATGGAGATTTTGACTAGTAATTTTGCCAAAATTATTTTACAAAAGTAATTTCTAGTAAATAAACATTTAATGAACAAAAGGCAACTACAGAACCAATTGTTTATTAACAAATAAATTTTTTAAAGCCCTTAGCTTCGCGAAACTCGAAAAATCGATTGTCTGCTAATTGGCGGATGGAGATTTTGACTAGTAATTTTGCCAAAATTATTTCACTGAAGAAAATTCTCGTAAATAGTCATCTAATGAACAAAAGGCAACTACAAAACCAATTGTTTATCAACAAATAAATTTTTTAAAGCCCTTAGCTTCGCGAAACTCGAAAAATCGATTGTCTGCTAATTGGCGGATGGAGATTTTGACTAGTAATTTTGCCAAAATTATTTTACAAAAGTAATTTCTAGTAAATAAACATTTAATGAACAAAAGGCAACTACAGAACCAATTGTTTATTAACAAATAAATTTTTTAAAGCCCTTAGCTTCGCGAAACCCGAAAAATCGATTGTCTGCTAATTGGCGGATGGAGAATTTTGACTAGTAATTTTGCCAAAATTATTTTACAAAAGTAATTTCTAGTAAATAAGCATATAATGAGCAACAGGAAACAACAAAACCAATTGTTTATTAACAAATAAATTTTTTAAAGCCCTTAGCTTCGCGAAACTCGAAAATTCGATTGTCTGCTAATTGGCGGATGGAGAATTTTGACTAGTAATTTTGCCAAAATTATTTTACAAAAGAAATTTCTAGTAAATAAGCATATAATGAGCAACAGGAAACAACAAAACCAATTGTTTATTAACAAATAAATTTTTTAAAGCCCTTAGCTTCGCGAAACTCGAAAAATCGATTGTCTGCTAATTGGCGGATGGAGAATTTTGACTAGTAATTTTGACAAAATTATTTTACTAAAGAAAATTCTCGTAAATAGTCATCTAATGAGCAACAGGGAACAACAAAACCAATTGTTTATTAACAAATAAATTTTTTAAAGCCCTTAGCTTCGCGAAACTCGAAAATTCGATTATCTGCTAATTGGCGGATGGAGAATTTTGACTAGTAATTTTTCCAAAATTATTTTACAAAAGTAATTTCTAGTAAATAAACATTTAATGAACAAAAGGCAACTACAAAACCAATTGTTTATTAACAAATAAATTTTTTAAAGCTCTTAGCTTCACAAAACCCGAAAATTCGATTGTCTGCTAATTGGCGGATGGAGAATTTTGACTAGTAATTTTTCCAAAATTATTTTACAAAAGTAATTTCTAGTAAATAAACATTTAATGAACAAAAAGCAACTACAAAACCAATTGTTTATCAACAAATAAATTTTTTAAAGCCCTTAGCTTCGCGAAACTCGAAAAATCGATTGTCTGCTAATTGGCGGATGGAGAATTTTGACTAGTAATTTTGCCAAAATTATTTTACTAAAGAAAATTCTCGTAAATAGTCATCTAATGAGCAACAAGAAACAACAAAACCAATTGTTTATCAACAAATAAATTTTTTAAAGCCCTTAGCTTCGCGAAACTCGAAAATTCGATTGTCTGCTAATTGGCGGATGGAGAATTTTGACTAGTAATTTTGCCAAAATTATTTTACAAAAGTAATTTCTAGTAAATAAACATTTAATGAACAAAAGGCAACTACAGAACCAATTGTTTATTAACAAATAAATTTTTTAAAGCCCTTAGCTTCGCGAAACTCGAAAAATCGATTGTCTGCTAATTGGCGGATGGAGATTTTGACTAGTACTTTTGCCAAAATTATTTCACTGAAGAAAATTCTAGTAAATAAACATTTAATGAACAAAAGGCAACTACAAAACCAATTGTTTATTAACAAATAAATTTTTTAAAGCCCTTAGCTTCGCGAAACTCGAAAATTCGATTGTCTGCTAATTGGCGGATGGAGAATTTTGACTAGTAATTTTGCCAAACTTATTTTACAAAAGTAATTTCTAGTAAATAAACATTTAATGAACAAAAGGCAACTACAGAACCAATTGTTTATTAACAAATAAATTTTTTAAAGCTCTTAGCTTCGCGAAACTCGAAAATTCGATTGTCTGCTAATTGGCGGATGGAGAATTTTGACTAGTAATTTTGCCAAAATTATTTTACAAAAGTAATTTCTAGTAAATAAACATTTAATGAACAAAAGGCAACTACAGAACCAATTGTTTATCAACAAATAAATTTTTTAAAGCCCTTAGCTTCGCGAAACTCGAAAAATCGATTGTCTGCTATTTGGCGGATGGAGAATTTTGACTAGTAATTTTTCCAAAATTATTTTACAAAAGTAATTTCTAGTAAATAAACATTTAATGAACAAAAGGCAACTACAAAACCAATTGTTTATTAACAAATAAATTTTTTAAAGCTCTTAGCTTCACAAAACCCGAAAATTCGATTGTCTGCTAATTGGCGGATGGAGAATTTTGACTAGTAATTTTTCCAAAATTATTTTACAAAAGTAATTTCTAGTAAATAAACATTTAATGAACAAAAGGCAACTACAAAACCAATTGTTTATCAACAAATAAATTTTTTAAAGCTCTTAGCTTCGCGAAACTCGAAAATTCGATTGTCTGCTAATTGGCGGATAAAGAATTTTGACTAGTAATTTTGCCAAAATTATTTCACTGAAGAAAATTCTCGTAAATAGTCATCTAATGAACAAAAGGCAACTACAAAACCAATTGTTTATCAACAAATAAATTTTTTAAAGCCCTTAGCTTCGCGAAACTCGAAAATTCGATTGTCTGCTAATTGGCGGATGGAGAATTTTGACTAGTAATTTTGCCAAAATTATTTTACAAAAGTAATTTCTAGTAAATAAGCATATAATGAGCAACAGGAAACAACAAAACCAATTGTTTATTAACAAATAAATTTTTTAAAGCCCTTAGCTTCGCGAAACTCGAAAATTCGATTGTCTGCTAATTGGCGGATGGAGAATTTTGACTAGTAATTTTTCCAAAATTATTTTACAAAAGTAATTTCTAGTAAATAAACATTTAATGAACAAAAGGCAACTACAAAACCAATTGTTTATCAACAAATAAATTTTTTAAAGCCCTTAGCTTCGCGAAACTCGAAAAATCGATTGTCTGCTAATTGGCGGATGGAGAATTTTGACTAGTAATTTTGCCAAAATTATTTTACTAAAGAAAATTCT